AACTCCAAATCAACTCATCAAGGGTACCCCCCATGAGGTGCCTTAGCACCAATTAGAGTTTGACCCTGAATAAAGCTACTGAGCTTCCCCCTCCCGCTGATCAAGACATGAATACTAAATCAATACTAAATCCATGAGATGAATACTAAATCAATACTAAATCCATGACATGAGTACTAGATCAATACTAAATCCATGACATGAGTACTAGATCAATACTAAAACAATTGCTGGATTTCTTTTTTTTGAAATTGCATTTTATGTATTCGTTGTCAATTGTGGTAATTGAAAACCTTTACATACAAACAAGTTTGATGGTGGCTTTAAGTCTATTTAGGGTCAAAGAGGGGGGGGGGGCTATTTATAAATCAGAGGTGGACATTATATATACAAATACAAATAATGATAATATATATATATACATATATATATATATACACATATTGTACTGCAATATACAATCACATACCATCATTACCAGCGAATATATATATATATATTATAACGACCTCACTGCGACTTCACTATGATGATGGTAAGGGAAACGTCCCCAAGATAGCCGCAACTTTTCAGGTTAGTGAATTATTTTAATTTACCCATATATATCTATATACATATACAGTTATATACACATATAAATCATGCTCTGTCCTCATACTTGCAAAACCAACTAACTGCGAAGCGCAACTGCTTAGTAACTGGGAAAACAACCGCGGGAACTTACCACCCAGGGTCACGAAGCAATTACGACTTCTGGGATCCTCCATTCCTCGTAGAAAAATCTCGTAGCAGGTGGTGCCGCGTCCCATCACCGACGCATTGCGAAGAGCCAGAAGGCCGGGAAACCACCCATTTCCCCTGTGATTTTTAATGGGAAACCCAGTGAATTGGGGGTACAGGAAAATGGAGCATTTGTAACATTTCCCATAGGATCCATGTATGCTATATATGGTAACATTTACCATCAATATGCCCCCAATGTTAGCATATATACCAGCACCATGGATCCGTCATGGGTCTGTAGATCACTTCCAAAGAAAAAACCAACCGGATTTCCATAGCTGCTTTTTCGCTATAGTTTGCCGGCCAAATCCAAGGATTCATCGAGTTAGCACCAAAAAACCGTGTAGCTGGCTACGGTTTTGCACGAGATTCGGAGATTCACCATTTTCAGACACACCCAGATATCATGTTGTTTTCCATATGATCCCATTTTCCTCCCACATCTTGTTGCGTAAATCCACATGTTTGTGGTGAAACCATCATTTTCAGACGCAACAAGGGTCCATTGATGCGTGAAATTGCAATGTCTATGGTTTCAAACTTGGTGTTTCTTGTCTTTTTTTTGGTGTGCGTGGTAAATTCATGCTAAATACCATTCCCATATGCTTTACATATGACATATGCTCCACGTATAAAAACCCCACTTGACCCATAAAAAAACAGCCCAACTGCCGTTTTTTTTTCACCAAACGTGAAGCATCTGGGCCACAGCAGGGCAGTCAACGAACAGCTGGACCTCAAGACGACGGCGGAAAAGGAAGCCAGCGCCAAGAAGGTGGAAAGGGATGGTGAGGGTATCGGTATGGGTAAACCTATCAAAATGGTGATGATCGGGGGATGGTTTATGACATTGTTTTACATGTTTTACCCACACAAAAGCCTATTTTCAGACACACCCAGAAGAATACCCTCTGGTAAACGTTAACAAAAAACATATGGAAAATCCACCAAATCCACCATTTTATAGCTGGGTAAATCAACTATTTCGGAAGGGTAAACTTTGTGTGGCTATAAGTGGATGTCCCATAGTCAGGTTGCTTTGTACCTTGTTTCAGGTGGATGTACCCTCTGGTAAACGTTAACAAAAAACTATGGAAAACCACCATGCTATAAATGGGTAGATCAACTATGTCGACTGGGCCATTTTCAATAGCGAACTGTAAACGTTTATCGGTATGGGTAAACGTTCCATTCTCCCTGCATGTGTCTGAGTAAGGTAAGATGTAACATGTTTTCCAAACTAGGTGTCATGTTCATTTACAAGAGAGACAATAAATATCAACAAATGGGTGTGTCTGAAAATGGGGGATAAATCATAAAATGGCCATTGCTAGTAATGGAAAAATATGGTAATTGATATCAATGGAAAATGATGATAATTAACATTAATGAACAATGATGATAATTGATACTAATGGAACATGATGATAAACAATGATAATTGGATTTGGGGTATACTATTTTTCAGACGAACCCATGACTATTCGGGATGTAATGTCTAAACGGAATTCAAGGGTCTATGGGATATTCATGGGGATATAACATGATGTAACCAATGATGGCATTGTTTCAAATACCGGTAATTCAGCATAGCGACTTGGAAAACCAGCATTTTTATCAGGTAACGAATCATTAAAATGGCTATGGCTTCCACAGCTATGTCAAATTGCGGGAGGGTATGTTTCATTTTGAAATTGACACTTAGATGGCCTGACACCACCAAAGAGCTAATGATGGAAAATATGACGACCGATAGTATGATGATGCTTTAGGTCACTCTAGGTGGCTACGATGAATATTAGTGAACTTTGTGTGGCTATAAGTGGATGTCCCATAGTCAGGTTGCTTTGTACCTTGTTTCAGGTGGATGTACCCTCTGGTAAACTAACATAACTATGGAAAATCACCATTTTCAATGGGTAAATCAACTCTAAATGGAAATTTTCAATAGCTATGTTAGTTTATCAGAGGGTATGTTTGGTCGGATGGGCTTCTAAACCAACTTTCGACATCCTATCCACGTGGCAAGTGGGACAATCCTGCACCATGAACCGAGGAGTTGTGAGGACAAATCTTGTAAGAATATTGAACATACTTTGAACAGTATCAACTTTGATGTGTGTATTTAAAAACAATATATATATAATACATATTACATTTCTTATAATTATGTATATATATATATACATATCAATATGTTGTTATTCATATACATAAACGTAAATAGAATGCAAAGTTGCAAATAAATTCACAATTCTACAGTAGCCCTTAGACGATGACAATCCAGCGAGGCGAGCCTCGAAAGCGCCGTGCAGAAAAGAAGCTTGGCGTCGTGATGGAACGGCCATCCCCCAGGATGTCACTGTAGATTTCAAGTTGACCTGGTTTCAGGTGGCTGAATAATTTTTAAAGATACCCGTTGAACTACGGTTAGTTTGTTGTTTCACGGATGTAAAATGTTTTCTTGCCTACCTGGGATGGTGGTCCCAATGTTATCCAATCTTCATCTTTTTTTAGGTGGATCCGATTGCTCCAAAGCTGTTCAAAAGTAGAATCTGACCATCCAAGAATCAAACTTCTCCGGTTGATTCCTGGCCACAGAACTTTCCTTGATGCAAGAAGTGGAAAACAAGACCACACATGTGGAAGCGCATGCCAAGTCGCCCCTGGGCCTTCGAATTGCGAAGGATGTGATGGGATGGGTTTGAAAGCCCAGAAGAGGGAGATACATCGATATTAGTAGGTACATCACCCATGAATTGTTGCAAATTGGAAAATGTTTTTCTTGGAAGTTTACCATATCCAAAAAGTACGTATCAAAAGGTGCAGCAGCTTGGCCTTAAACGTCCACTGCCTAAATGATCAAAGCAAACCTGAATGATGTCTGAATTCCTTTGTTTTCCAAGGGCTGTATCCACAGGTTCACTTCCTGTGTTGCTAGACTCTGCTCGCTTTCCAGTCACAAATCAGGCACATTCGATTCTTTCTATTTTTTCAAGATTCCAGTAAACTAGTTTCACAATTTCCATGAGAAATAATCCGCTCACTTGCTCCAACCCACTGCAAATGGATAGCCCACAAGGGTAAATTAGGTCATTTTAGTTCTTTATTTACCCAAGTTACCCACCTTGTTGCCGCACACGTCTGAGAACACGCGAGACGAGCGTGGCCGTGGAAAAAGCAATCACTGCACATTTGGCCCATGGCAAGGACCATGAGGCGCATGGCATGGCATGGATTTGACGCGAAAAAATGGGCTAAAAATGAGAAAACACCGCGGCCTTTTGAGCCTTTTTCATGGGAAAATACTGGTAAACAAAGGACGGATATTTGAACTGGCAAATTCTCAAGATGTTTCATATTGTTTCATGTTTTTTCCTCCAGCAAATTAACATGAGCTTGTCTGAAAATAGTGTGTACCCAAGATTTACAATCAAATATAGAACGGAGTGAACGGAGGAAATGATACAGTAATAAACCATAATGAACACATGTATCTTGGAGCACCTCATTTTCAGACAAACCCGTATAGATATTAAACATCTGCCATTTGCAGGGCATCTTCCAGAAAAAAGCATGGATTTTCAACATTTATGTTATTTATATACATATATATATATATACATAGGTTACTGGCAGATACTTGCAACTAGCGAACTGATGCAAGATGCAGGGGATTGACGGGCAACATGTCAGGGCTTAAAATTGCTGGGAGATTCCAGTGGGTTCTAGTGGGATCATTTGTAGCAACCGCAAATGATGCCATCATCATCATCATCATCATCAGAATATATCTATATCTGAACTAACAGTCTAGTACGGTTTCATAATATTAGGTTTTATATGATCACAATATTCACAATGATTTCAATATATTGGTACAGAGTTCAAACGTTGCCTTGAATCAGGTTCGTAATGATCAATTCTCCCGGCTCTAAACCTTCAGGCTGCCCTTGTAGTTGAGCTGTGTTGTTTAGTCAGTTCAATCTTCGACCCATCAATCATTGCAATCGTATGCATACGCACTTCACAGACATATGCATACATTAAAAACACACACACACACTTTACATGCAACTATTTACATGCGCCTATGAACATACAACTACACACGTATGACTGCCTTTGTGTAATCATCATGTATATACAATAGCACACCTTTGAATACAAAAGTATATTATACTATATTACGTAATAGATCATATGATTGGACAACTATATTTACATATACTTACACACATATAAATATTGTATTCAACATTTATACAATAGTCCAATATAATTATTGGTCATGTATACATTTCCGTGAACAGTACTCATACATACATATTGTATATCGTCATCATATACGATCAAATAATTTGTAATTTCAATGCATACCAATACAGGAACTATGAAAATTACATATCTATACTATAATAATATATATATATAAATATTAAACAAGGACACTGTATCATATTGTATATATATATAAAAATATCGGATATCTCATCCCACATTTATATACATATATATATTGTGTGTCTACATATATATATATACATATATTGACAATTACATACATACATAAATGCATACATACATACATACATACATACTTATATACATACATACGTACATACATACATACATGCATACATACATACATACACATACATACACATACATACACATACATACACATACATAAACATACATACATACATATATACATACATGCATGCATGCATACATACATACGTACGTACATGCATATATATTTACATACATACACATACATACACATACATACATACATAGATACATACATACATACAGACATACACACATACATACATATATACATACATATATACATACACATACATACACATACATGCACATACATGCACACATACATACACATACATACATACATACATAGATACATACATACATACATACAGACATACACACATACATACATATTTACATACATATATACATACACATACATACACATACATACACATACATACACACATGCATACACATGCATACATACATACATACATACATACGTACATACATACATACATATATGAATATATATATATATATACATACATACATCCATGCATACATACATACATTCATACATACATACATGCATACATACATACATACATATATACATACATACATACACATACATACACACATACATACATACATACGTAGATACATACATACATACAGACATACATACATACATACACACATACATACATACATACATAGATACATACATAGATACATACATAGATACATTCATACATACAAATATACATACATAAATACATACATACATACATACATATATTTACATACATACATACATAGATACATACATAGATACATACATAGATACATACATACATACATACATACATACATATACATACATTTTTTAATACATACATATATACACATATTTAAAATTACATACATACATACATAAATACATACATACATACATGCATGCATGCATGCATGCATACATACATACATATATTTACATACATACATACATACATAGATACATACATAGATACATACATACATACATACATATACATACATATTTTAATACATACATATATACACATATTTAAAATTACATACATACATACATACATACATGCATACATGCATACATACATACATACATACATATTTTCATACATACACACATACATACATACATACATACATACATGCATACATGCATACATACATACATACATACATTCATACATACATACATAGATACATAAATAGATACAGACATAGATACAGACATACTTACATACATACATACATATATACATACATACATATATACATACATACATACATACATACATACATACATACATACATACATACATACATATATACATGCATGCATACATACATACATACATACATACATACATATATACATACATACATATATACATACATACATACATACATACATGTATATATATATGAGAATCCTGTATCCTCCAAGTCCCAGGCGGCGTTGACGAAGTTCCAGACCTTGGCGCAGGAGGCAGCTGATCTGAAGGCAGAGGTCGCTGCCAAGCGCCTTGGATCGCCAGCCGCTAACCGGGCGAATGGTGACTTCGCCATGATTTAACCGTGAACAGTAACTGTGGCAAAATGGGGTCTGAAACATTGGTTGTTTTCTGAAAACCAACCATGGGTTTTACTATGAAGAAATAATTTTACCATGAAGAAGTTGGGATTGAAACCATGAACATTTGGATTGAAGCATCAAACATCGGACTTTCACCATCGCAATTGATGATTTAACATGATTTCACCAAGAAACATATGGGTTTAACAAGAAAAAAGTGGATTGAACCATGAAACAAATAGGGATTTTTCGCTATGTAACAAAAAGTGTCTAACGGTTTGACCAACATAAGTCAGGATTTTGCCAACAAGGTTTAAGTTTGTCCAGACAATATTGAAAGGTTATCATCGAAAGAATACTGCATAGTGGTTGAACCAACCAAAATTGGGATTTCATCTACCAAAAGGTAGAAGACGTGTTATTCAACATCAATATGTCAATATGGATTTAACCAATTTAACCAACAAAGAAAGGGATTTAGACAACACTACAAACAAATACATAAAATTTAATCTAAAAAGGGCTGTACGGTTTATGAGGCTAGTTTACCACATTAAGAACCAACGGCAACAAACTCTGTTGTGTCCAGCAAGCATTGTGAAGAGGAATGAAGCAACACTGATGGGGGTATATGGGGGTAATGGTTGCTTAATCAACAAAATTTGCAGATCATATGTGGTTTTCACGCCTTAAAGTCGCAGTATGTTTTCCGACGAAAACACGGAGTTAGCCAAGGAGAACACAATGATAATCAATTGTATGACAAATTAGATCAAATTAGTTTAGTTAGGAAGTGTTTTATAACTATCGTTTGTTTTCCACAAAAAAAATGGTATACCAACAGGCAAGCGGGTCTTACGAGTGGATGCGCAACCTTGGCTTGGGGAAGGTTTTGTGCACCCAGAGAAATATTGATCTTGGGGATGGCTTATGAAATACATCTCCATCTTGTTGAGGTGGTTTTGTTCAAAGCAAATCACAAACTTAATGAATTGTGTTGGCATATTTTGCTGGGAAATCAGCCCTCGAGCTGAATGGGTCTCACCATCGGCCATGAACTGAGGATGACATCCTTCATGAAAGAGGTCGAAAGGAGGAAGAAAGAACTCGAGGCACGCTGTGAGCCGTTGAGCAGTAACCAGTTGAACCCACCCTTTAAAAAAAAAAAATCTTGGGGATTTCCAGAGTATCAAGGGATGAACTCTGTGGAGCAAAAAGGGGCCTTGACCCAGCCTGGCTTGACCTTGTCCGCCCAAACGATCCACAACACGATCCAGATGGCTTTGCTCTGAAATTTCAGGCGAAAACCTCAAAAAAATCCCATGGTGTATCATCATGTTCCCTATTAAAATTGCCTTTCAAATGGATAGATCCCACATTTTCAGACACACCCAGATGGTGTTGGCTCAAACATATTGCAAGAACAGATCCCAAGCCCGTGATGGCCCTGTAAGGTGATCCCAGGTTGCTATCGAACATACCCTCTGGTAATTTAACATAGCTATTGAAAATGGCCATTGAAATAGTGAATTTTCCCATTAAAAATGGTGATTTCCCATAGTTATGTTAAATTACCAGAGGGTATCCTATTTAAAGATGATTTTCCTATTATGAACAGTATTAAACGGATTAAAACAGCGAACAGTGATGTTCCATGGCTAGTTTGAATTAGCAGAGGATGTGTGCAAGGCTTCCCAACAAGAAACTATTATTGAAATCTATTAACATGTGTTTTGTATATACAAATATATGTACAATATATATATATATATATGTACAAGCATATATATATATACATACATTATATAGATATAGTCTTTTCTCTGATCCCGTGTTACATTCTATGCTTTTCTTGACACTGACGGGCGATGCCGCCAGGATTTAAGGGATAAGCACAATGACAAGGCCCAGTGCAGGGGAGAAAGAGGACTGCGACGTTGAACATGGGATATTTGATGAATACCCTCTGGTAAACTAACATAACCATGGAAAATCATCATTTTTAATGGGTAAATCCACTATAAATGGCCATTTTCAATAGCTATGTTAGTTTATTTGATGAATAGTGATTATTGATCCGAGAATTTATATGACCTTTATGTTGGAGGTGTCGACGTGAAGAATGAAATCTTAACTATCCCAAATATAGGTAACTTGGACATTCTATATACATATATAGATCAATATTATTGATCATATTTGATATGTGCTTAAATGTGTTGTATAATTCATCATATGTTGGTTTACGATTTTATTTAAATATAGATAGATATATACTGCCGTGTATGTGTAGATGTTATTGCTATACTTTGTGGATGTGGTAAATGCATCAACAGACTATGTGAGCGTACTGGTGTACCAACATCATGTTTGCAAAGTTGTTTGATTCTCCTGGTTGGCCTTTGAGTTGCGTGAGAACCGCCCTTTAGGCCATCTTCTCGGTGATTGGAACCATGCATTTCACATACAGAAAATCGATCCAAAAACCCGATGGATCATCATGAAATTCAGTAACAGTAACTATCAGTATATAACAGTAACTAACAGTAACTATCAGTAACAAACAGTAACTATCAGTTTTTAAGATCACAACTAACAGTAACTAGCCTCCTGAAATTCGAGCATGGCAGGTCAAGGAGTCCGATAAGGCCAAGTTGGAAGCGAACGATGCTCGGATGGGGTCACAATGCTGGATTTGAGTGATGTATCAATGAATTACCCTCTGGTTATGACTATTATGACTAACAGTTCGCCATGGTTTTTCGATGGCCCTAATCGAAATAGATGGATTACCTATTAAAAATGGTGATGTTCCATGGCTATGTTAAATAACCAGATGGTATCCATATTCGACCGGTGAATAATGCTTTTGATTGTCATTGTTTGTCCGGAAACTGATGAGATCAAGAGAACGGTTTCAGAGAACATCTCTAGAAATCCTTGCTTTGTACTCCGAATATACTGGTAAATCCTGTAAATGTTCCCTTAGCCTTGTGTTTGGATTTTGGGAACGGCTCATGCCGTTGGAGGTACTTTTTTCTGAGTAAATTTGGCATGTTTAAGATTTCAGTAATATATATATATATATATATCCCAATAGGGGGGTGTGTGAAGCATATACCCGTTTTGATTCTAGCAATGTGGTAAGCTCATGCAAACCGACAACTACTATAGTATACCAAGCCTATAGTTAAACCATATAAACATGCATATGTGTATCGAATCCCATATCACTAAGTAAATCTTCCCATAGCAACAAATCAATCTACTCCCATTCCCATACTACAAAGTGGTAAACCTCCAAAGGTCGGGAGTTGTTGGCACCAGTGGCACCAGTAAACACCAGAACTGGGCTCCATTGGGGTTTCCAGAAGTGCCATGACCAGCAGAATATGGGAATCAAATGGGATATGATGGAATTTGATGGAATATGATGGAATATGATCTTGATCTATGCATGTATGTATGTATATATATATATACTTGCAGTGGGAACTGATGCAAAATAGAAGGAACGCTATGATATCTGGTTTTGTCCAAAAGCAGTGTGTACGAGAAACTTGCTATCCTTTGTCCATCGACAAGTTAATGATCATCAAACTTATAGGGATAGCCTATTGTCAGACAGACCCCAAAGATTGTGTGCTGACGTGTACTTAGCAACAGCCGACGCCCCAGGGACTGCTCTTGGCTTTTCAAGAAAGAACACAGAGTGCGTGTGGTATGTCATTGATTATTACCCTCTGGTAAACTAACATAGCTATTGAAAATGACCATTTATAGTGGATTTTCCCATTGAAAATGGTGATTTTCCATAGTCATGTTAGTTTACCAGAGGGTAGCTATTATATTGTCACAGCCGTTATATGGGTTTCCTTGCAGCTCTGTCGTGGAGACCTTTGTTCTTGTGACAGGGATCATGCTGCTGGGCCACCCCAACGCCATGTCTACTACTTGAAAGTGTTTGTGGTTCTGGATCAACCAATATGACGCCCATGAAAATTCGAAGCATCCGGAAATGTCGCTTTCAACAATATCAATATTAAGAAGTAAATATGACAATATGACATATCAAACATGATATATCATGAAACAGTGGGGAAGGGAGACGCGGATATTCCCGTTGATGCGATGGGGATAAAGTAAGTTTTTGTTGTTTCTGAATTATCCTGTTCCATGCTTGATATCCAGATGTTTGTTGTTTCAATCTCCGCTGTCTGTGGAAACGTGTGTAAAATCCGCATGTTAGCTTTCTTCAAATCTATGCTTACAGTACATGATTGGACATCCCCGGTATGACAACTACATTGGAACCCTTTATGCATGGCCCATCTCCAGATCTGGAAAATGATCGAACTCATCCCAGTTAGAAAGTCATAGAAAGTCATTGTAAAGCCAAAGGAAATGACTGGTACGACTCCGTGATATATGGACTACGGAGATAGGTTATACATGTACATGTACATATGTATATATATATATATTATAAACACATTACTGTGTATAATTGTTTATATATATATACATATCTACATTATATATATACACTATATATATACATTATATATATATGTATATATATAATTATTTATACATACAATATATATATATATATACATAATATATATATATATTTACTCTATACATAATATCTATATATATACATAATGTATCTATATATATACACATAATATATATCTATACATAATATATATATATATATACATAATATATAGATATATATACATATTATATATGCAGAAAAATGTATATACATATTTGCATTATATATATACACAGAATATGTAAATATTTACATATACATACGTCAATGAAGATATGTATATATATATGTATATACACACCAACTTACATGACACGGGGACGCTCCTTGACTCAGGACCTGGCAGAAAAACTCATGGCAGCCAGCAAACACAAGGCTCTGGTGGTGGGGGCTTGGGGCTTGGGTTGGTTAGTGAACGAGCCGTGGCTATTTTCTTTTTTTAACCCCTGGTGGTTGAATTTGTTTAACCAGTAGTGTAGTTGTAGTTGTAGTTGCAGTGTAGTGTAATTAGTGTAGTGTTGTGTAATGTAATGTAGTTGTAGTTGTAGCAGCAGCAGCAGTAGCTGTGGTGGTGGTAGTAATAGTAGTAGCAGTAGTAGTAGTAGTGGTAGTTTTTGTTGTTGTTGCTGTAGCTGTAGATGTACTTGTGCTTGTAGTTGTAGCGTAATTAGTGTAGTGTACTGTAATCAGTGCAGTGTAGTGTAATTGGTGTAGTGTAGTGCAGTGTAGTGTAGTGTAATTAGCGTAGTGTAGTGTAATTAGTTTAGTGAATTTAATTAGCGCGGTATATTTACATTTGAAGTTGTAGTTGTCCATCTATCGATCTATCTATATATCGATCTATCTATCTATCTATCTATCTATCTATCTATCTGCAAGCTTGAAAACAAAGCTATTCTGCGAGACTTCCCTCATTTTTGAACTTGACAACATCAGAAACGGGGATACCCAATTCTCCGACAGACCCAATCCCAAATAGGTTGGATGTAGATGAGCCCAATTGATAGGTCACAGTTGCCTCCAGCAATCCAGCCATCTACCCTCTGGTTACTGAATTCAACTGTGTGCTATGAAAAAAAATGACCCATTTAGTTCGATGATTTCTGACGATATACACATAAAAAAGGAGGGCTATTTTTTCCCGGATTTTTTTTGTGTTTTCCAGCCTGGCTTTGTGGCTTTTGTGGCTTGTGTGGCTTTACCATGCTTTACCATGCTTTACCTATCTATCTTTCTATCTATCTATCTTTCTATCTATCTATCTATCTATCTATCCATCTTTCTATCTATCTATTTTTGTCTTACTTATCTTTATCTAATATATCTATCTATCTATCCATCTATCTATCGATCTATCTATCTATCTATCTATATCTATCTATCTATATCTATCTATCTATCTATCGATCGATCGATCGATCTATCTATCTATCTATCTATCTATCTATCTAATATATCTATCTAATATATCAAACCATCTATCTATATATCTATCTTTGTATGTATGTATATATCTATCTATTTATCTTATCCTATCTTATCTTATCTTATTTTTCTTATCTTATCTTATCTATCTGTCTATCTATCTATCTATCTATCTATCTATCTATATGTTTGTCTATTTGTCTATCTGTCTATCTATCTATCTGTCTATCTATCTAATCTAATCTAATCTAATCTAATCTAATCTAATCTAATCTAATCTAATCTAATCTAATCTATCTATCCATCTATGTATCTGTCTATTCATCTTATCTTATATTATATTGCCTTATCTTATCTTATTTTATCTTATCTTATCTTATCTTATCTATCTGTCTATATATCTCTCTATCTATCTATGTATCTATCTATCTATTTATCTGTCTGTCTATCTATCTATGTATCTATCTATCTATTTATCTGTCTGTCTATCTATCTACATATATATCTATCTATCGATCGATCTATCGATCTATCTATCTATCTATCGATCTGTCTATCTATCTATCTATCTATCTAAACCAACCGTAAATAAACCCTAACCCAACCCCAAATAAACCGAAAACCAACCCTAAATAAATCTAAGCCAAACCTAAATAACCCCAAACAAACTCTAAACCAACCGCAAATAAACCGTAAACCAACCCTAAAATAATCCTAAATAAACCCTAAACCAACCCAAAATAAACACTAAACCAACCAACGCAATGATAACATCCAATGCCGCTATTTAGACCCAACACGGTTGTGCTTCAACCTATATTCTACATTCTACATGTTCACTAGGTGCATGTTACGCATGGAAAAATCGATCGAAACCATGAACAAATCAATTGAAACCATAGAAAACTCAATGAAAACTATTGAAAAATCGATGACAACTTTGGGTAAATCAATGAACGCCATGGAAAACCGGCTAAAACCAGGAAAAAACGATGAACAGTGCAAATGGCACATGTTAGCTTCAAAATTCAGCAACGTACAGGTTTTTGCTCCAGAATGTAGCAACTAGCAAGGAAAAATGCACCAGACTGAAAAACAAAGAAAAAAACAACACGCAAAAAACAAAAACAAAAACAAATCTGCACCGATAAAGAATGGTGGTTTCCCATAGTTACGTGAAAACACCCAGAGGGTATATCGATTGACAGATGCCATGCGTCAGGCGAGGGCTTCCAATTTGGGGCACCCAATAATGCACCTTACTTGGAGTCTACAAGGATACATATATATATATATACACATTATTGTGTTACATATTTATTAATAAAATTTCATGTTTTGTATATTATGTAATAAATATATATATATATATTGATTATATATTCTTGATATATGATACATTTTGGATAATGTATCATTCACGCATTTTAAGCTCCAAATTCACGTAGTCATGAATCTCCAAAAGTTATAGATCAAGTCGCAGGAAGCCACACATTGCATGTCGATATCTGAAAGCATGGCCCCTCGAGATAGGTAGATGACATGGGGTGACTTGTAACTAGGGTAACTATGTTTTGTTGTGGATAAATCAATATGTTGATGGGGTTATGACACCACAAACCCAACTGGAGGGCCCTTCCTTGTATGACTAGACTACCTTTTGGTAGTTAAACATGGCAATGGAACAAAAAAACAACAACACACACACACATATATATATATATATTCGATTATTTTTCCAATGAAACCTCCATTGATAGGGGATGTCCCAGCAAACCATTAATCATTGCTGAAGGGTAGCAAGCAAATGTGGAAAACACCCAGCATTATTGTCGGTTTCCATGCGTTTCACCATGGGTTTTTCAACATCTACCCTCTGGTAACGTAGCTATTGAAAATGGACCATAGAAATAGATAGAACTAGTTTAAATAGTTGATTTACCTATTAGACATGGTGATTTTCCAGTTGTTCGCTTTTTGTATGTTTACAAGGGTATGTTTGTTTACCCTAGAGCATGTCGTTGTTTTCTGGTCTCGGTAGCGGATCCTGGGAATCCAGGTGGGTGTGGAAGAGGAACAGATCAAGGCAGAGAAAGCCATGAACGATGCAGAGAAGGCGGGGTGGACGGGGACGGGGCGGTGGCATGTTTTGAGCCATTAAAAATACCATCGTTGATAGGTTATGATGAGGATTATATATATATACTATCTGGTTTAATGGATCATTATTATTGGGGATTATGTTTAAACAAAAATGGAATTTTATTATCCCATTATTATACCATAGTAGGTAGTTATAGTTAATAATTATAGTTTACTATCTGGTTTAATTAATGCGGATTATAAGGGATAACTACTAACCAACCAGTATATATAATGGAATTTTTCAGGATGTCTTGATCAAAGGAGCTACAGTACTGTGGATGGAAAAAAACCGGCACCAGTTGGTAGTTGGTTTATTTTGTTGCAAGTCCATTATTTACAGTGTTTCATAGTTACTTAATAGTTCCCAACTGGTGCAGGATTTCTTCCATCCACAGTGTGGTGAAGATTGGTGAAGACTTAGCGGCAATATTTTTTTACTTGTTGGGCCAAACAGCATGAGGATTTATAGCTCCAAAGTAAGCCGACTGGTGACTGGTACAGTACGTGCATTTTTTTTGTGATACATGGAGAAATCAACAATATCCCAGCTCGATGATAAGATGCTACCCTCTGGTAATTTAACATAGCTATTGAAAATCACCATGTTTAATGGGAAAATCCACTATAAATTGCCATGTTCAATACAGTAGCTATGTTAAATTACCAGAGGGTAAGGATGCTGGGAGCTCTTGGAGGCGAAGTGACGGAAAAGTGACGTAAATTGACGTTTTGTGGGGCAGCCAGTAAGCATGATCCAGTTTTTAAGGGTTGGATTACCATCTGGTAAACGTTTACATAACTATGGAAAATCACCATTTTTCATGGGTAAATCCACTATAAATGGACATTTTCAATAGCTATGTTAGTTTACCAGAGGGTAGTTGGATTCCCTTTGAATGTTACACTTTGGTAGTTGAATTGTTTTCCTTTTTTCCCCGGGTTTATTGTTGATAGATGAATTGTCCATAATTTTCCATATACACATGTCCTTATTCTTGTGGATTTCCAGCAAGGCATGTTTCATTGCCGCAAGGCCGCAAGTCCGCAAGGTATTATTGTTGCATTGTTTTGGTGAAGTGGCTAAAGTATTCTGGAAACTCATCAATTTGACGTGATGAATGTCGACTCCTTGGATGCAAGATGTTTTTGCAAAGAGATTGATTTCACCATCGACCATGGTACCCTCTGGTAGACTAAAATAATTATGGAAAATCACCATTTATTGTGGGTAAATCAACTATAAATTGCCATTTTCAATAGCAAACTGTTAGTTTACTGGGGGTAAACCTCCATTTTCCTATGGTTTTCCTATGGTTTTCCTATGATTTTCCCATGTTCCTATGGTGGAGTTGAGATGAACAGCATTGGAACTCCTGATGCTTCGAACGACGATGTGGCTTTCAGGCTGAGTTATTGGACTCCCGGGTGTCGGAAGATTGAACCATGGGCTTTATCATATTGTAGCATATGTATATATATTATATATTATAGACATAATTACTAACATATTCATATAATTTCATATATATATATATATATATATGTACACAATATATACACAGATAACTTGCATCTTTTCGTGTATGTGCATGTTTATGTTTTTCAATATATTGTGAATTTCATGTTTTTTTGTTCTGTTCTTGTTTTCCCCCGTAGGGTAAGTATTGCATGTATGGAATCAAAGCTCCTGATCCATGTCCAGCACGGCGCCAGGAACTGCGGGAATTGCAAGCCACTCGGTTTTCCGAAAAGGTTCTGCTGGACACCATGTTAAGTTCTATGTAATTGGTTATTGATGCAGTGTATGTATGTAATGTAATGTAATGTAGTGTAGTGTAGTGTAATGTAATGTTATGTAATGTAATGTTATGCTATGTTATGTATGTATGTACGTACGTACGTATGTATGTATGTATCTATGTATCTATGAATGTATGTATCTATCTATGAATGCATGCATGCATGTAATGCAATGTAATGGAATGTAATGTAATCGTATGTATGTATGTATGTATGTATGTCTGTTTGTATGTAATGTATGTATGTATGTAATGTAATGTAATGTAATGTAATGTAATGTAATGTAATGTAATGTAATGTAATGTAATGTAATGTAATGTAATGTAATGTATGTATAGGTACTATACATATTATATATATATATATGTATGCACTGATTATATTTTCAGACAAAGTTAAAATGTGCCACCATCCACAAAATGGGGATTCCTAAAATAGGGCTACCCCAAATCATCCAAGTCATTATACCATGAATTAGTTTTGAAACCCATGATGACTTGGGGTACCACCATAATTTAGGTAAAGCCATGATGAATCCCTGTTGTATATACATATGTAAGTATGACCTAGCCTTATTTCATCTTAGTTCCAACTTTCAGTAAATACTTGCGACATGTACATACATATCCCCAATATCTCACCTTCATGGCTTTGCCTGGATGTTCATATGGGAAGTTGCTTAATCTCACCTATATCTGGGACAGCCTGGAATCCACACGATGTTGCTAATGTTGGCAACCTAATGCCAAAAACCTATCATGACTAGGGCCACCCATGAGAGTGGTGATTTTAGGGATGGGTCATTATGGGGTTTACCACATTACTTAGTTTCCGTATGTACGGAAGTGTCCATTGAGTTTCCAGAAAGTGGTCAACTGCGAAGTTCCCTGGATTTTGTTTAAGGATGACGGCCCAGAATAGCTCCGTGACCCTCCAGTAGTCAAACATGGCAATCAGTGTGAAGCGATGAATAAACCTATCCGGACCTATCCGGACCTATCCGGACCTATCATATCACCCCCATTGTATCCCGAATATGTGTGTTCATCCCTTACCCCTTTACCAAACCATGGTTTCAGAAGGGCTGTGCAACTGCTGTCTGGGGATGGGATTGAGGCCCCGCCAGCTGCTAAGTAGGGTGACTTTCCATGTCTGGATTGAATTGAAGCCCTGAGTTAATGAGAAATTTATCCCCTTTTTGTTATCCCATGAAATATCTCCACTGATGATTTTCCGGAATTATCTCCCACACAAAAATTGGAGCCTAAAAATTGGTGAATCCCCAAGTTTCCATAGGTTTCAATCCTAAAATGCTCTAAAGACATGGATGATTTGGGGTACCCCTGGGTTTCCATGGGTTTCCATCGGAATCTCAGCTCAGTCCGAGGCCCACCTCGACGGTGCCGTGAGCGCCGCCACCAAGGCCGAAGCGGAGGAATTGGAGGCCGCGGCGTTTCACGCGCGCGGCACGGAGCGCTTGGGTTTTTTGAGATTTCCGGAGAAAGATGTGAAAGTGGTAAAAGACTTAGGTTCCATGTAGTTGGGATTTAAATGGATTTAACATATTTCACTACTTTAGAAATTGATTTTATCCACCTTTTCTTGGGGTTACTATTTGTTTGCCACGGTCAAAACTTGGATTCGATTTTTTCCATGAATCACCCATTAGTTGGGGGAGTCCTTTTATGAGATGGATGACCATTGCCCATATACTAATGTGTTGGCCATGGCACATTTATTGATACAAATAGATGTGTTGTACTTTTGAGGTGAGTAAGTGGTTAGACAACCCATATATATATATATGTGTATTAATATATTTTTATTGTAATATATATATATATGTTATTATATATTCCCTAACTATAAGCCATCTATAAGACCGATAACATTTAGATATAATAGAGCATATATGAGGATGTTCCACTACCCAAAGTAGGGTCTATTGTATGTGGATATATTTTAATGACCTCACTGCGACATCTTGCTACGGACGTGTTTTTTTCCAGGAGAATCACCATCAATTTGCCTTGTATCAGGTTGGTAAAGTCTCTTAATTTATCCACATAAATTCACATATTATATATATATATACATAATTATATTATATATATATATACACATACGTATACGATTGCATATTGACATGCGTACCGCCCGCATAGCAATTTCAACCAAAGTCAGATACGTCCGCAACAGTTTCAATGTGGAGAGATTTGTCCAAGAATTGGGGTGATAAACCATGAAAAGAACACTGCACTGATGGTAATCCAACAGTTTTTTTGGGAGAACGTTTACAGTTTGCTATTGAAAATGGCCATAGAAATAGTGGATTTACCATGATTTACCCATTATATAAACATGGTGAGTTTCCATAGTTATGTAAACATTTACCAGGGGGTACACATCCCATTTCAAACAAAACCATCCATGCCAACGTTAATCTAACATGGTTTTGGCTCAAAATGGTGGAATACCTACGAATACCTGATTGCACGGTAATTTTCATGCCATTAGATTTTGGGGAAATCCAGATATTGAACAAGGCGACGCTCTGAAAAAAAAATCAGATGCATTTGTTTGGAGACTTCAAATTTAAGTTGCAACTAGTATATGATCGTCCAATATTTATACTGATTGTACCACTAGACTGGTTGATGGAGATGGGTTGAAACATGTTGAAACCATCAACCAGCTTTGGAGGGTCAAACTGCTAGATCTAGCTACCATACAGCCTAGTTGACCCTATACCAACTGAGGCAACGGGCATCACCTCGTAGTCGTGGCCTTGGGATCACACTTTCGCTTGTGATCCCCACCCTGACACACTATTCTGACATGGAATTTTGACATACCATCTAGAAGTATATATCGCATATATATATATATATATACATACTATATGTATATTCTGACATTCTCTCTGACATTCTTTCTGGCATATACTCTGACAGTCTAATTGATATTCTTTCTGGCATATACCCTCACATACTTTGTGGCATATATGCTGACATCCTTTCTGGCATCTATTCAGGCATTCATGCTGGCATTCTATTTGGCATCTACTCCAACATTCTATCCTGCATTCTATCGGGCATCTATTCTGACATTCTTTCTGGCGGTGTGTTCGGGTCCAGGAGTGCTCCACAGCATCCGGAGATCGCGATATGGCGCACAACAGTTGAAACCCACAGTCATGACGAGCTGCCAGAGGGGCACACCAGGAGCAAAGGAGAAGAAGTAGAAGTAGGAGTAGGAGGACGAGTAGGCAGAAGAAGAAGAAGAAGGAGTTGCACCTTTGTTAAAATCTGGAGGCCCTCACCTGGCAGGTGGGAATACCTAAATCACTATTGTTTATGCTTCAAACGGCTATATACTATAAACATACAAAAATCTACCAACCATATGGCTACCTTCCATCATCTCTTGCACACGACAAGTTCGCTATTGTGGTTCCCACAGCGTCGATCCCTACGTTTGCTTGAAGCGGCCATACGACCGGATGCCGACCTGTGGCCTGTTCGGCCAGGGCAACTCGAAAAGGGAAGGGACAGTTACCCATCCTGAGCTTAACATCACCATACAAGCTCCAAAGGTCCATCAGTTTCAGGACTTTTGATGCTTAATAATGCTAAACATGACAATACGGTGGCAATTTTGGAGCCTCCTTCGCAGGCAGATAGCCAGCTCCGAGAGGCAAAGGGCAATCACGAGCGGACCAAGAGGAGCAAAGTCGTCCATGGTGATTTTTTGTCAGAAAAAAAAAGTGATTTCGCAGGATTCTAACCAAGAACAGTGTAGGAAATGATGTTAAACAGGAACATGTTTAAAGTTTAAACCAGGAACAGCAAAAGATGTGGTTTAACTGTTGAACAGTTAACAAGATACCCAACAGACAGGGGAAGATAAGGCTGAGGTGCTCAAATGGAGGTGTCCTAAAATGGGGGTACCCCTAAATCATCCATTTGAATGGGGTTTTCATGGATTTACCATTATAAACCATCCACCTATTGGGGTATCCCCATGGCTTAGGAACCCCCCATCCTGTGGATGGTTGCGACATCCTGCACCACCAAAAGGATGGTTGAAACCCTATAAATAGTGGGATAAACCAATCAACTGCTGCAGGATTTTCTTCCATCCACCGTATGTTGCTGAAAAATCTTACCATCTGATAATTTAACATAGCTATTAGGCTATTGAACATGGTGATTTATAGTTGATTTACCATGATTTACCTATTAAAATAAGGGTGATTTGCCAGTTCGCTTCTGGTGAGTTTACCAGAGGCTAAATCCACCATCTCTGACGGAACTCCAAACACGCCAGGACCCGCGACCTTCTCGAAGGACTGAGGACTGGTGTGGAGGTGCACCGTTGACGCCGTAGACATTTTGACTTGGCTCAGTGGCTGGCGTTCAAAACGTCGCTTTGTTGATGGTTATTATGATATTATGATTATATAACATGATATAATAATTATATATATATATAACAACTGGGCAATATATATATATATATATAATTGGGCAATAATTATATACATTGTTATAACATTATATATATATATATATTAGGGCAATATACCAATCTTTGTATATTGGGCTTATCTTGGGGATGATCAGATTCCATGAACTAGAGGAATCCTGTTCTTAATCAGTATGTTCAGGGACGGCAGAGGGTTTGAACACCGGTTGTTACCTGTCAATATGTCTGATTTCACCCTGTTGAACCGTGAAAAAGTCGTGGATTGAACAAATGAAATCTGACATTTGGGTTAGATTTAGGTGTCTGAACATATGACAAAATTCACTGAACACCAGGATTTATGACAACATATGACAAACTGTGGATTTATAACAAAAATGTGCATTGAACATGATTTTTAGCAATATTTATATCACACTAGTGGATTTGGGTGTCTGAAAACCTCAATCTATGACCATTTTTGTTAATGGAGAAAATGATGATTGCCAGTGAAATCAGTTGTGCCCTATTGCCAAATTCACGCAAACCTTTTTGCTATACTTTTGGGTTACATATATATACATATATATATATATGTACACAAATAATACATACTAGCTTCATTTTTTTGGCAGGGTTACATGATATTTCAGATGTTCCATGTTTCATTGTTGGTGGTTAGACATTATCATTAGCCTCAAGCAAACTAGCATAGATGCTAAGAACACATGATTTCCCACATGTCCCAATAAACATGGTCTAGAATCTACAAACTAATACTTTCTTTTGAATATACAGGTGTGCCCAAACATAGGAGGTTTACCTCTAGTCCAAAGATGTCCAAAGCTATTTTAGTAGGACAGATCATGATCAAGCATCACAGTTTGCCGATCGGAGTCTCATCGGTCTTGTAGTCTCCAGCCCTACATGGTTTCGTTTGGGAAGATGATCCTTAATTGGCTATTTAAGATTGAATCTGTGTGTATATATATATATATTTATTTATTTAATATATATACATATATATGTAAAAAAAAACGTACATCTTTTACATTTGTCTACATATAAAGTATATACATACAAATAGACTTTTAGATATTTGGGTGGTCTCAGCCAACAAACATCAGCCTGGGTTTTTCAGGGTACAGTTCTAATCCAACTGGCTTGGATTTCGAAAAGCAATTCCTTTTCCAACAGCTTTCAGTGTTGGCGTTTGTCTTTGTGGGTGCTATGCCTAAGCAAGTATGACCCCGTGTGTGTGACAGGGGTTGGTACTATCCTGTAGATGTTTTTTCGCACTGCCTGGTTCATTGATAGACTGGCCCTACCCCAGTAAACAGCATTAAACAACAAGAAAGCAGATGAATGCTAGTGATATACCACGGCGACACCATCCATATAGTTCCCCATGAACCTCGTTGAAATGTCACGTCTTGGAAATTTTAACTCAATTATATACCTAAATTGACAGTTGCTGGAGATACTGCTCCAATAGAGGAAGAGGGTATAAGTTGGCTTACAGCATCTTATAACCCCATATATAGCAAGTAGACTCTAGACATATTAGCCATAAAACCCATTTACAGTAAACCCCATACGCAGGAACTAACTAGTTAGTTGGCTTCTAACCCCAGATACAGTAAACCCTAGTTAGCCTACTTAGAAACACACCATATATACTTTTCGGAGACTGGGCCAGACGTTCTTCAAGTCCATCCGCACGCTGGAAGATAGTATGATGGACAGCGAAGGCCAAGGTCAGCATGAGTTGTTTTGGGGAGATGGTCCGAAAATCGTTGATATATCCCCAACTAGAGCCATTTGTCACCGGGAAACGAATGACAAAGTTCATGACATTTGAGGAAATATACTTGGTTTTCGGACCCATGTGGGTCTGGTTGGTTAATGTAGGGACCTCTCTACCACCTCATTCATTTGGGATTATGGTAGCCGTTGGGAAACCTATCAACCAACGAGTATAACCTACAAAGAGATGGTCTGAACATCAAGATCTTGGGTTGTCATTTTTAGTCCCTCAAAAAATGATGGAAATCAGCAAAAAGAACCCTACACACTGACGTGGTTTGTTTTTTGATGTGCTAAAGGAAAAGGATGCCCAGCACAATAGACTGATTGGAGAAATGGGTGTCCTTCTCAGGTCCATAAGTCACCGCAGGTCTAGGCTAAAATAAACGCTGCGACGGAGTAACTTTCTGAAAATACAGAGCCAGCGTATGGTGGAAAAGGCCCTGCTTCTTCAAGATTCCACCTTTGGATATGTGCCAGTGGCTGCCAGTGTCATGACCATATTGAAGGAAGGTCTATTGAAGGATGGTCGTCAATCCTTTTGGGATTCATGTAACCATTCAAACAATTGCAGCTGAGCATGGCACATATGTCAAAATACCAAAATTCCATTTTTGAAATTGCCATGTGAGGAATGGACAGTGCGGCACACGGATACGTAACTTTCCCTTTCTTCTCCAGGAAAGGCCTATGATCGCATCAAGAAAGATGCCAATCTCAAGGTCCTCCTGGAGAACTACAACCTCATGGTGCCCTGGGATTTTGGGGTAGACTGACCGCTGACATGGTCGGTGCTTCGCACCGACGTGGAATGATCCACCCTTCCTCCGAAGAATCCACCATGTGGCAAACCAGTCTGATGCCTGGTATGCTGAAGAAATCCATTTTAAGATTTTAAGAGATACAAGACAAGCAGAAATGGAGAAGATAAACAACATTTCAAACTCCCCATTATTTGCTGATAAACATTGAATAAACATTGATATCATTGATAAACAACAAAAAACTCGACACGAAAAGTGGTTCCCATCCTCTCCCCAAAGCCGTGAAGGTGGCTCGCTTTGTGGATATTCACACCTTTGATGAGGATATCTATAGCCAGGCGGGCTGTTACAGGTCGGGCTGGGAAGATGAGTTATCCTGGAGTAGTTGAGGTCATGTCAACAAACACATCACTAAAATGGGACGCACTTCAGGATTATTAACTAGGCTTGTACATTAATATAGCGGTCCCCAGTCCCAAAACATGCCGAAAGTCGAACGTGTCAAGGATGTGAACTGTGCGATTGTTCTTCCACGATTTTCAGGTTTACAACTGGTCCATCTATATAACACATGCGGCGTATACCATAGCTTACCTATTATGTACGTGATGATGTATAGATCGATAAATGTACAGTGGGGGGAAGCCTGTTTAGCGATACTTTGCAGTTCACCGGTTGAGTCGGTTCCTGAGACTGTGATTTGTTTTGCCTGGGGTTGCAGCATGTGAGCACCAGCTGCTAGACCTGAAATAGAACTTGGTGTAACCAGCAAATATGATGAAATCTGGCAGTTCTTCAACCAACATATATCCACTCAGTTTGCTAACATAGAGTTCTTCAAACTAACTTGAGCCAACATATATCCAGTGAACATAGAACTCAGGCTCAGTTTGGGTCTCTGCAACTGACAGTGTGATCCCTGGGTTTGGAATAGACATATTGTCCCCTGGAAGAAAACTATGAACTGAACCAAAATAGCTCATTGACACACCACAATCTACTGTCATTTTTTTTTTATTTTGTATGGATGTAAATTTTCATAAATAGTGATTTGATATTGGATTTGAATCTACTCTGGGCCATTGCTGAGATTTTCGGGTGCCATTTTTCCCAGGGTCTCACCATTCTCACCAGGTGAAGCCGGCTCAACCGTTCATTATGAAGTGCCTTGGTGATACCAGTGTGCCGGGGACCGGGGACCGGGTTATCTGACTTTTGCAGCAAGAAAACATGGATATACTGTGAGGATAATTAATGTGTATAACGTATATGTATTATAGACAGAGCACATGTCTACATGTGATCCCCCATTTGGACATCGCCAAGTATACAGCCCCACCTAGGTCCAACTTGACCATGGTCCGAACTGATGGAGGCTTTGACAAAGGTCCAAAATTAGCGATACAACCAGCAAAATGGCAAGTACAAAAACCAACTTAAAACGGGAAGAAACACATAAACCATGGGGTGATACAACCAGATGTAGTCATTCATCGTAGTCCCTGCACATTGAATGGTGATGAACAACGGGATGATGTGTCCAGATGTTCACCAGCAAACTCCTGAGTTGCCCCCGGGGATGGCCAGGAATGGATGGGGTTTCATCGATGTTGACCCACGGATCCCAGTGAAATCGTTCTCGGCAATGCTTCGACGGTCGGTGAAATGTGCTAAAATCCCATAAAATCCCATAAAAGACCATGGCTCTCCGTGGCTTTATCCTGACATGGGGGAGAAAACGAAAAGAAACTGCCATTCGAAAAGGAATATGATCAAGCGCTGGGGCGTTTTTTTGTGTGCCCAATTTTGAGACACACAGAAATCCGTCTGGAAATATGGGTCGAACTGTCATACTCCTTTTGAGAAGTGGAGAATTTGATCCTCTCTGCTGGAATTCATCAGATGTCAAAGTAATTACAGTAGGAGATTCGGACCCAGATTTACAGGTTGAATCGTTGGTCCATTGGTGGTCCATTGGTGGTCCATTGGTCCCTAAAACCAGCATTTGGAAAGGCTGTGAGCCTGTTCAAATGCTGCTTGGGTCAGCAGGAGCCTCAAATGTCAAAAAGAAGGCATGTAGATAGAGAAGTATCTACAAAGAGAGACAAGTTCAAGAAGCAGCTGTGTCCTTTCATCTTTTTGTAGCAGGGGTATATAGATGTTTCACGACCTTCCTAGTAGACAACTCATTTTTGGAAATTTGGGTGTGTGTCGCCGTGAACTGTGAGTTTCAATGATGGATGGAGACAAGAACGATTCAGAAGGCAACATGCTGAATTGGGAGTGGTGTGCTGTTTTCCGGCCCCTAGAAGAAGATAATGGTTGTCATGCAGATGCCCATGAAGTGATATGAAGTGAACATGTACAATAGATGCTGAGTTGGAGATAGAGGTGTCCCCCAGACAGACAGGTCAGAAAATCAAGATAGTGGGATTAACATCACCTTTCTGTTTTGGGAAAGCACCCCCGACATACAGGAACTCTATCGTGCTTGCCTTTGAAGCCCTTGGAAAAGCTTTAAGGGCATGAGCAACACAGGCAGCAGCAAAGCTCGGTAGTGGTACTTTAGACATCTTTGAAAAAGGGGTCAGTCCTCCCATGGTGTTTGTTCGACCTCTTCGAACTGTTCTTTGTCCTTGGCAGTGTTGCTTCGCCCTGAGGATAGGAGTTGTATGTTGAGGTCTGAAGGATGGCAAGCCAATTGTCCCATACTAGTGGTCGCCAAGTTTGCAGTTGCTTCGGACCTATGCGGGCCTTTGTAACCCCATCGCGCAAGACGCCACGTCACCACCTATTTCCTGGCAGGGGCCTCTGGTGATTCGAAGCGTCTTGTGGCCTTGTTCCTCAATGCAAACCTTCACACAGGACAGGACAGCAACAGGTAGCGTCTCGGTTGCACGGGACCTTTCTAGGGTAGATCTTAAGACTTCCTTCGTGCAAAGCTTGTTAAGCGCCAAGTCATCTCACCCGTTACTGTGCGATGCGGGGCTGTTTTTCCAGCCAGCTGCGTGGCACCCAGAGACGCTCAGGAATTCTTTGGCGGAAATTGTGTACATCTGCGACCCGCTGAGTCACTTCGGCGAGCTTCTTGGTGGAAGAGCACGTTGCACCTCTTTTATTGACAGCCAACATTGTCCGCCTTCAGCGCGTTGTGTTTGAACATGTGGTGGCATATCATAGAAATGTTTCACGGATTGTTTTTTCCACAAGTGTGCGGGCAATGTGAGATATTGATGAATTGCCCTGCATGCCCGCAGTTTGGTGTTGCCTGCATCAACACTTGGACATGGGAAATGCGTGGTTTTTGGTTTTCTTTTAGTAAGCTACCAGCTGCAGCAGCCAATCGCATTCTGTGCGACCGTGGCGCGGTCTCCCTTGAGGTTGCCCGAAGACATTAGCAAGTTCAAAGGCACAGCGAAGATGGCGAAGATGGTGATGGTTGTGATGGTGGTGTTTGCTGTGACGATGGTGATGATGATGAAGAAGAAGAAGATGATCATTATGATGATGATGATGATGATGATAATGATAATGATGACAACAACAATGATGATGATGGTGGTGGTGATGATGGTGATATTGAACGTGATATTGATGCATGTGTCCATGTCGTTGTGGCAGTCGCAGTGGTAACCAACAACTCAGCCTTCGGGACATCGGAAGAAAGGTGCACGTCCCAACAATCATTTTGTGTTTTTAGTATGCTTGGATTCCGCAGGGAATGTTTGTTTTATCCTGAGCAGGTGCAGTATGCTCCAAAAATTGTCAGCATAGGGGCGACATGATTTTTGAATCTATTACTCTATTACATTTTGAGGGTCGGGGTTGTCCCAATTCAGACAAACCCATGCAGGGACCCATGACGGTTATGTTAGCCGCCAAAACTTCACTCTAGACCAATCTCACGGGAAAAAACAACTCGGAAAAAAATAGGAGGAGGGAGGGTTTGGAGGAGAGGGGCTGGGGAGGAAAGCGAGGGAGGGCAGAAGGTGAAGGAAGAAAGGAACAGGAAAAAATGAATGGAAGGAAAAGGAAGGGGAGAAAAGAGAAAAGAAGGAGGAGGAGGGGAAAAAAATCATAAAACAAACAGGGAAGGGAAACGAAGAGAAGGGAGGGAAAAGAGTGGAAGGGAGGGAAGAGGAAGGAAAAGGAAAAGCAGGAGGGAAGAGAAGGGAAAACGGAAGGGAGGGAAGATGAGAAAGAGGGAAACCGATAAACCGAAAAATGAAATCAATGTGTTTTGTCCGCCCTTTCTGAATTTTTTTGGTGTTTTCCTTGAAAAACATGCGAAAAACAACCATGCCAATCCATGCCATACCATGCAATTTTTTTCGGCGGGGTCGTTTTTTTTTGCCCCCAATTCATCCTCCCCCATTGTTACTTGTAACCATTGGTGGCACGACCTAACGTTTTTTTCCTGTCAAACTAGCACTGGTGTGAAAATGAAACATGTATATAGTTTTTTTGGGGTGGCATCTGTTGCTGGCTGCACTTGTTTTGTTACAATGGTTGTGTTGTTTGCTCGTTTGATTTGCCTTAGCTTTGATTTTTTCATTTTTTGATTTCCCAACAACATCATGTGGGGGGTTCCTAAAATAGGGGTACCCCCAAATCATCCATTTTAGCAGGATTTTCCATTCATAAACCATCCGTTTGGGGGTACCTCCATTGATGGAAACCCCTATGTGGAGGTTCTGAGTTGGACAAGCACTGCGGTCAGGGGCTTTGGGATGCTGTGGACCTCACCCAGACACGCGGCACGCAGTCGCAGCAGTGCGTTGGGATCATGTCATCAACCTGTCACCCAAGGGGATCCTGGTTAGCCTTCTGACTTAACAAAATTTGCCCTTAATTACATGCTGTCACTGTAACTAATGACATGGCGTTTCTGCTTGCAAGTGTGGAACAAAAACTTTTCCAAGTGGGATGATGATGATGCCCAATGACAATTCTTAATTGTTCAATCGAATTGACGAGACTAACCAAAGCATGTTTCATGTGATTTCTTAAAGCCTGCCAACCTGTAGACATTAATTAGCCGAACATTGTTGTTGGTTCCCAAGTCTTCGACGCACAGGTATAAGTATATAGGCCCTCGGCATCAGCAAACAAATTTTAAAAACTATGTGTTAACCCTGAAAATGGATGTGCATTTCAAGCATATTTAATTATATTTATAATTAAATATAACTATATATATAATTAAATATAATTATATATATATATATATATATATTTACATTTATATATATATATATATACTCAGCTGAATTCAGCGTCAAAACCACATAATATCAAAACCACATAATCGAAGGAAGTTTAGAAGCTAAACTTCCGACAATATGGACAGATGAAAAGCAGAGTAGGGAAGAGGCAGAGAGAAGAGGAAGATTAGAAGAAAGAAGATGCAGATGCGCGAAAAGGTAGGAAAGTCGCGAAACACTGTGTTTTTCCAATGATTTGGGGCTCCGGAGGGTCGAAAAGTAGGCTCGCTAAAGCGGCGGGTGCGGAGCCAGCTAGCCAGAGGAGAGATGAAAAATTGAACGCCGTTGTGGCGCGAAGCACACTTCCAAGTCAAAATGTTAAAAACACTAGGGGTGCGGACCACTTTGGGCACTTGAGATGTCGAAAAAGTGCACGCCGTTGTGGCGCGAAGCACATTTCGAAGTGAAAATGTACAAAACACACCAGCTTCGGACCACTTTTTGAAGTTGAGATGTCGGAAAAGTGCACGCCGTTGTGGCGCGAAGCACATTTCCAAGTGAAAATGTACAAAACACACCATTCTCGGACCACTTTTGGAAGTTGAGATGTCAAAAAAGTGCACGCCGTTGTGGCGCGAAGCACATTTCCAAGTCCAAATGTACAAAACACCTCAGGTCAGGACCACTTTTGGAAGTTGCGATGTCGAAAAAGTGCACGCCGTTGTGGCGCGAAGCACATTTCCAAGTCAAAATGTACAAAACACCTCAGCATCGGACCACTTTTGGAAGTTGAGATGTCGAAAAAGTGCACGCCGTTGTGGCGCGAAGCACATTTCCAAGTCAAAATGTACAAAA